TCTCACATCACCAAGCGCGAATCGCCGTGAGGTATTTGGCGAGTCGCATGAAGGGTGAGCTGCATCCTGCTAAGGGTGTTCGGCATCTTGTGCTTACTTCCTTGCGTACGGATGACAGCTACGTATGACTTAATTTATTTTCTGGTGCTTTCACTTCCAGAGACAGTTGTAAGCACTGTGTAACTGCCTCGAGGAAGCTTGACCATTTTAACACAACGTGGTGCGATCATCCCCCGTTGCGCGGAGTGAGGTTTCTCGACCCCGCACAACATGATCTACTCGACCACCATTATGGTTACCGCCAAAAAAAAAAAAAACGAGGTAAAAAAAAAAAACGGTAACCTGGTTGCCGAGTTCACGAAGTGAATTGGCTTCTTTTACAACGTCGTTGCCAAGCGACGAAAACCCAATCCCGATGGCAAACACCGAGTGGGGGGCTTGTTTTACAACGTCGTTGCCAAGCGACGAAAACCCAAACCCCGATGGCAAACACCGGGGGGGGCGGCTTGTTTTACAACGTCGTTGCCAAGCGACGAAAACCCAACCCCGATGGCAAACACCGGGGGGGGGGGGAGGGGGGGTAGGCCAAATAGACAACAGCAGTATGTAGACAGCAGTAGACAGTAAAACAAAAACGGACAGCAGTAGTCTATTACTCTATAGTCTATAGTACACAGGCGAGACACGAGACCACCGAGATTCACATGTAGTCTATAGATGTGCCCGTTCACACGACAATATTCGATTGTGAATGTAAAGGAATACAACCAAGCAACATTCAATGTTTAGTACAATTTTGTAATTTTTCATTTGTAGACCACATCGGGCGAGAAGAAAAAGAAGACGTTCGCATTTCGCAATTCGAAATTATGTGCTTCGCGGTTGTTAGATTGTTTGCTTAGACTACGCTGCTACGCTTTCGTTACTTTATACTTCATACCTTTCGTTGGTGCAGCTTGTGCATTGTGCATCCACTAATAGTTTCAGGGTTGTTTCGTTGTTCCCCGTGCAACCGGTCTGCTCAACTACATTATTCCCTCCTGTTTGCGTTTTCCAGGGCTTCTCGCACCGAGCGTGTCTTTGACGACGTGCTAGACTGGGTAATCCTCGCCAACCAGGCGCTGTCCGCCCCTGATCACCCAGCGTTCAAGAAGGTCTTGCAGACAGCGACTGGAAGCCCTAGCTTCGACATCGGCGGTAGAAAGAAGTTGGCGTCGGCGTTGATGGCGAGGAAGAAGACTGCCACGGACACTCTCAAGCGCATGCTAGTCGGGACTAGCCCGGCGGCGACCAGCGACATTTGGGCATCTATTTCCAATGTGAGAAAAACACTACCGACCACGGTTGGACCTACAATCAGTTTGTTTTTTACGTGCATGTATTCCAAAATGGATAAAGGTTGTGTGTCTTCATTATTTGCCTACGTGGCGAATGGTCCAATGCACTCATGTGCTCGTTGTTTCTGTGTTCCATTGTTTGCTTCGATTTCCTGTGGTTTTCAACCAAACGTTTTCAGGGTGTCTTTCATTAGCCTGACTCTTCACTGGATAGAGACGTCCGACGCCAAGTGGACCGCCAGGAGTGGCACCACCGCTTGCGAGGTATTCGATGGATCCCATACCGGTGTGCGCATCGGGGAGAAGCTCATGGGCATGCTGAAAGAGCTTGGAATCGCCCAAGACCGTGACCTGCATGACGACGGACACGGCTGCGAACATGAAGAACGGGGTCGTCGCGCACATGCCGGGTGTAGAGTGGCTTGGGTGTGCATGTCACAAGGCTGAGCGAACAGTGCAGAAGTTCGTCGGCACCACCGATCGAGGACGCGCAACAAGTGAGTCGAACGGTGTGGTATTTTACAGAGCAAAAAACACGTCGGGTTCTTGCTCCGCAGAGCGGATGATGAAAGTGTTGCGTCGCCGCACCCGCTGTCCTGTATTTTGACAAAGACACTACGTGCACCTGCTCCTGCATCCTGTGCAGCAGAATTTGAGCTATTTTTGGAATGATGGTCGCTTCTGAAAGCCGCCCCTCGTCCCACCCCGATCGTCCAATGAATACGTCCGATGCAGACGAGATTCCCCGACAAGAAACCTGTAGGAATCCCTACTGGCTGCCCGACGCGGTGGTGGTCGTGGTACGGGATGCTTTCGAAGTCCTGCGAGCACAAGAGCAGCATTGCGCACACCCTCGAGGTCGCTAGCGAGCGTGCGGGGGTGGACATCCACGTCACGAGCAAGGACTGGGAAAACGCGGAGATGATGGTGACAATGCTGGAGCCGTTTGCGGATACAGTCGAGGCCTTGGAGAGTGATGCCCTTGGCCTGGCGGAATTTCCCTGCATCATGCCCGTCTTGAATGCTCACATCGAGGCGCAGGCAGCGGCTTTTAACGACGGCCCGTTCGCGGATGCTGGTGGCGAAGCAATGCTAGTCGACCACGCCGATCGCTGGGACGAGCTTCCAGGGGTTGTCAAGATGGCATCCGCGCTAAGCCCACGCACGAAAGGGCTCGAGTGGCTGTTGGGCCGCGAGAAAAAACTTGGCGCAAACTTCTTCTGACCGACCTGAACACCCTGTTCTCCAAAGACATCGCCGCCGAGAACGAAGCAGGCGGGTCCGCGGATCGTGGTGGTTCCGGTGGCACGTCGGACCAACAGCCCCCGGCGAAGATGCAGAAGAAGAGCTTTCGCTCCAGGTGTGTATCGACAGCGAAGGCAATGGGTATGGACGGTGGATCGAGTAGAGCGGATGGTGATGGAAGCAGAAGCGCCGAGCGTTACTCCGGAAGGCTCCCACTTCAGGCACGGATGGATGCGGCCGAGCTGGAGCATGGGCGGTTTATTGCTGAAGAAGGCCTCGACGAAGACTCAAACGGACAGGATGCTCTGAAATGGTGGTGCCGGCACCAATTCGCGTTCCCATCTCTTGCTAGGCTAGCAGTGAAGTACCTCGTGATCCCCCGTCATCGGCTGCGTCTGAACGCGTCTTTTCCGTGGCCGGCAACATAGTCATAAGGAAGCGCAACCGCCTCGAGGAGGGCACGATCGATGCGCTCGTGTTCCTGAATGGCTCCCACGGGCTGTCGTGGTCCAGCGGCATTTCGCAAAAAGACCTCGGCCGGAAGCAAAAATGAACTCTCGTCGCGTGTCGTAGAGATGTTGCGTAGTGGTGTCATGGTGATTCTCTGCGTACTGCGTACGGATGGTTTGTTGGGCGTCGGGTGGCTGGCTTACTTCCATTTTTTTCGTATTTCTTTGTGGGTCGTGGTTCGGTAGTATTAAACGCAGTGAAGGAGGTCACTAAATAGAGGTCACTAAAAAAGAGGTCACGAAATGTGAATATTTATTTAGCCGATAGCGGGAAACCAAGCAGCGGTAGCTTTGTGAGAACTTGGCTTTCTACGGCAAGGTTGCGATAGTTAAAATGATGACACCATGAAACACTTGCTGCATTTTCCGACTTCATACGTTCACCCTAGTAGCTAGTTCGCCCACACGTTATTTTTGTTCAGATAGGTGGCTGTACCCTTGCCGACTTTGGAGGCCTATTTTTCGAAAATTGTGATGGCAAATGAAGCGAAATTGCTCCAATTTGTTTGCTCCGGCGGCGCCTCCAGCGGGGCCCCCTCACCAGCCAGGGGGGGGCGTTGGGGCTCGCTACGCTCGCCTCTAACGGGTCGCTTCGTTCTCAATATCGATATCGTATCGAATCGATTAGTGAATCCATATCGAACACTACCAAAAAGTCTAATCCACGACCTAATCGATCCGAAATATGAATAGCAGGAGTAAATCCATCGAAGATGTGTGAAAGCGACCGCGGGGCCGGGGCTCGAAATGAAAAGAAAATACATCTACAACTTCTGCTTTCTTTGACGTTCGCTGAACTGTTCGAGTGAAAAATACGTCAGCTGCCGCTGTGCTTTTTGGAACAATAGTCTAATCCACGAACTAATCGATCCGAAATAGCAGAAGAGAATTCATCGAAGATGTGTGAAAGTGGACCGGGGCCCGAAATAAATACGTCCAAATAAAAATCTCGGCCCAGGCGTCATACGCACCCACCTCTCCCACTTTTTCCACCAACCTTCAACGACTACAACAACAGAGAGATGGATTATTTGGAACGGGAGTACAGGATTTGGTCCAAGACCATGGAGGGCCATAACGGCACAACACCGTACAACAGGTGTGTGTTGAGCACGGGACCCAGATGTATACATACCCTGCGAATATTCTGTCGACGATGCTAGGAGTGAATACACAAGAATGGTGCTACAAGAAGAATAATACTTCGTAGTATTCGTAGTATTTAGTCTATCTATGTACAGCAGTCGAGAGTCTGTCTGGATTCTCACGTTATCCTGTTGTGCTGCTTGGCACCGTGAACGATGCTGCAACCACCTGTGAGGGTCAGAGCGCGAGATGTACGAAGTGAAAACATGCCCACCGTGCCCTCAAGTGATGCAAATGCTGTCGGTAGTGGCCTCAGTAGCTGTAGCCCAGGAAAGATACGTAGTGGCCGACCTGTGCAGTACTGCTGTAGTCCATGACAAATCGGCTTGCTCAAGGGTGAAAGTCCTTCCGCAGTATGTTCTCATTTCGACTTGAGTATTGGTCAGCATCTGGGACACCCGTTTGAGTGCACCGACATGTGTATCGAATCAGAGAAACCCATGTCCTGCTATAGCTCTCCATCATTAGAATGAGCATGGTGGTTCTCCGCATAGATGATGTGGTGAAAAATCGTGGTTGACCAGAGAACGGTGAATGAATATAGACTACTGTTCGACACCCAGCACTCACAATACATATATATATATTCCGTTTCTTGTATTTCTTGCAATATGTCTTCGTGCCTTCCTTGTGTATCTCTCTCTTTCTCTCTGTCTCTTTGAGGTCCCGACTCCCTTGTCTACTCCTTCCTTCTCCTATTATATTTCTGGTTGTCTCTCTCTCGTCGAAGCTTGCTTGTCCTGATCCTGCTCTGCGCTCGCCATAATTTGATGTGGGCTTGACACTTCCCACCTTCATTTCTGTTCCATCTTTTTCCTCTCCTTCCGATCCCATATCTCATACGTACCTTCCCATCTCATATCTCATGCATGCAAACGTATGTGTACGTACGTGCCGCATGTTTGCCAACACAATTATGTACATCTGCACCTACTAACTCTCCTATGTCTTTTGGTCCTCTAGTTTGATAGCCCTGAACTCATATATCGTTCTCCCGTTCGTTCATCCCGCCAGGAGTTGTCACTGCTTTAGTCACGAAAAGGATTCTTCAGCAATCTGAAATACATACCCAGCCAACGACTACTGTTGGTGTACAGGCCAAAAAAGTGATGTTCGTGACAAAGAACCGCCGTCTGGAAATATTTGACTACAAGCAGCGCAATACCCAATTAGAAATCAAGTATACCCAATTAGAACTCAAGTATGTATGTGTTGTTGCCATGTGTGGGAAACACTTCGGGCCAACAGCTAACGGTATTGCAAAACGAAACCGACCCTACAGCGGAGAGATGGAGGTGGAGTATGTCTTCTCTCTTTCTCTCTATTGCGAAACAACAACATTCATTCATTCATGCACATTCATTCCTGTCTAATTTAATGTTTGTCGTAAACGACACTTTCCTCGTCCGGTGCAACGGCTGCATTCTTGGCCCTTCTTTCCTCCGTCCCCGACAGTTACGCTGGCGCAAGTGCCGCCATCGTTATCACGGGGGCAATTGTGCTCGATGGTGCCATAAAGTGGGCACAGAGACGGTGAGTGTAAATGATAGTGTTTGCCCCATCCAACTTGAGTGGGCGGGGGAGTAGGGCACACTACCAACGGGTGCATGTGTGCTCCGAGGGTTTGCGTTTCACTTTGATCTGGCTAGACAACGTACTCATCGCTGAGGCATATTTAGACAACAGCAACAAGACCCTCGCACCTAGAGGATCAAACGACGGCAAGGGTTTCGATCGAAACCTTGGAAAAAGCCGAATGCGTACACTCCTTGCTGTGTTGGGTAGCCCTCTGCTCCAGAGTGTAAACTACATAGTCCCGTTTCCTACAGGAACCGAGAAATCGACTTCCACAAGCACAAGCCCACATGACACTCTCCATGCCGCACCACGTTTTGATATTGACCCACAGATGGAGACTTTCGAGCAGCACCGACGATGATCGTGCCGCAAGGCATGTGTACGAGGACTGGGCAAAGGCCGGCGCCCCCTTCGGCGCCAGCAACAGCGGGTGAGTTTGACAGTACAGAATTTTCCTCGACAAGTTCGGGTATTTTTCGCGACGACTTTTACTCCGTGCCAAACTGTTGCTCTACAGCAGATACAGCGAGGCATCAGTGGGTACTGCTGTAGGTTGTATTCGCCAAAGTATTCAAATATTTATCCACGAACTCCCCGTCTCCTCTCGCACGACGCTCACCACCACTGACATTCTTCTTCCTCCCTCCCTGGCGTCCAAACCCAGAACCAGGTCATCTTCCGTCCGGTACGGGCGAGGCGAGCACGGGGCGGGTTCGACTCTAGCCCTTTCGACCTTTCGGCCGTCCGCAAGGCAAGTGCACGAGGGTTGGGCAAAGGCCGGTGCCCCCTTCGGCGCTAGCAACTGCGCATGAGTTTGATAGTACAGAATTTTCGGTAACAACTTCGGTATTTGTAGCCACGTGTACGCCGCCGTCCCAAACCGTTGCTCCGCTGCGCACGACCCAACAATACAAAACAAGAATCACCAACCCCTAGTCCATGCCTTGTTCGGTTGTATTCTCCCCGTACGATTCCATCTACTTCCTCTGTCCCAAAGTCTGTAGCGTTATGGGCGAGACGTTCTTGAGGTGTAACGTAAGTGCTAATGATTGTAAACTGGGGTTCGTTGCAAAGAGAAAGCGCACAGGATGCTGATAAAAAAAACAGAAACCGTTGTCAACACACAAACCAAGCCGAAACATCACCGGTTTGCGGGTGCCTCTCGAGAGATTGTGTGTGAGAGTGTGATTCTTGTCCCTGCACCCTCGCCGAAATTGCGCAACACATGGCTATTTTTTGAGCCGACCGATACTTTTCCGGCCCTTGGCACATGCAGGGTAACGAATGTCCACTAATCCATCGCCGAAGGCATCGGACATGGCTAAAGCGCTCGTACGAACACAACGCTACAGACTTGGGGACAGACAAAGAGCTCCATCTCCTCTCGCGCGACACTTCTCAACACTCATCTTGCTTCCTCCCTCGCGTGTGACGGAACAAAACCATATCCAGGTACGGGCGAGCCACGACCGACACCACTTCGCCCGGTGCCAGGCGGGTCGCCGTGCACTTTCTGTGCCGGTTGCTGGCGGAGATGTCGGCAAGGCAGCCGTTTAGCTCGCCGGCACCCATGATCGTCATCTCCTTGACGGCGGACAACTTTCGAGTCCCCCCCCCGCCTTACCTGCGTCTATGCCATTCCTCGCAGTTCCCGCCGGCTACTCCCCCCCCCGGCTCGATACTCCTCAACAGGGGTATCGACGGCTCGATGGTGAGGCCGGGCCGTGCCACCGCCGCCCCCCTCAGCATCCGGTGGCTCGATATCGAGATGGAGGAGGAGGAGGAGGCCCGCAGGCGCGAGCGCGACGCCAGGCTGGCGGAGGAAGAGGAGGAGGCCCGCAGGCGCGAGCTGGACGCCATGTTGAGCGCTGGCGGCGGCGGCGGCGGCACAGAGGGGGGCTCTTCGTGGGCGGTCCACCCGGAGGCTGCGGCGGTGGAGGGGGCCCCCCGCCGCTGGGAGAGCACCAGGGCGAGGCTGGCCCGGGAGGCCCGCGAAGCGGCTGCGGCGGTTGAAGCGGCTGCCGCCGCC